AGCAAATTGGGGAGAAAAAGTTTCACTTGCCTTACACATCCCAGTCACAGTCCCTCAATCATAGTCCGTCCCGAGAGAAGTCAGGGCAGGAACTTAGGGAGGGCCGGAACCTGGAGGCAGGCACTGACAGATTCCTGGAGGAATGCCACTTACCAGTTTGCTCCCCACGACAAGCAGTCTGCTTTCTTATACAACTCAGTACCACACCCGTCCAGAGGTGGCGCCACTAACAGTGGGCCGGGCTCCCTCTCATCTATCAGTAATGAAGAAAATGCTCCACAGGTTTGCCCACAGGCCAGTGGGATAGGGGCATTTTCTCAGCTGAGGTTCCCTCTTTCCAGATGACCCCAGATTGTGTTAAGTTGACAAAAAACTCAACCTGTACCACGTTCATCTCTAAGACAGAATTAGACCAGCCCTGAGGGTTGGTGCTTGCCCCTGCGCTTTCCTGCCCTCTGCTTCCTTGTTTCCCCAAACCTCCTCAACAGACTGTAGTGCTGGCCGCTCTTGAGGCTACTGACTGCCAGAAAAAGGCAAGTCATTAGGTGAGACCCTCTCCGAAACATCCCTCGGAGAGGCTTGTACCTCCGGGAGGAAAGCCCCCTTGCCTCTCTTTCTCTTCCTGCATAGGACTCAGGCATGATGGTGAGAGCCCAGTTGCCATCTTGGATCAAAAGGTTAAAAATGAACCACTTGAGTCAGGCTGAAGCAACCTGAGGTTAGGCAGGAACTGAGAGGTTGACAACGCGTGGAGTCTGGATCAGCTCTGTTCAGACTCTTTCTGTACTTCTTTTTAAAAGATGAACAGCTGGGGACTGGATGGTTCAGTGGTTAAGAGCACTTGCTGCTGTTGCAGAGGACCTGGGTTCAGTTCTCAGAACTCACACGGTGGGGTGGCTCACAAACATCCCTAACTCCAGTTCTGACCTCCAAGGCACCAGTGTGCATGTGCTACTGCCATGCATAAATGCAAGCAAGAACTCAAACACGTAAAATAAATCCAGAAGCAGCAACAATACCCAGTGATGGACTGGAGAGATGATTCAGTGCTGAGAACACTGGATTCTCCTCCAGAAGACTGGGGCTTGATTCCCAGCACCTGCATGGCAGCTAACAACCATTTATAACTCCAGTTCCAGGGAATCTGATGTCTTCTTCTGGCCTCTGTGGAAACCAGGCACACATGTGGTATGCATACACACATGCAGGTAAAGCACCCAGACACGTAAAAATAAAAAACTTGTGTTAGAACAATTTTGCATTTAAGAGTTATTCCAAAAGCTGGGCATAGTGGTGCACACCTTTAATCCCAGCACTCTGGAGGCAGAGGCAGGTGGATTTATGTGAGTTTGAGGTCAGTCTGGTCTACAGAGTGAGTTTCAGGACAATCAAGACTATGTAGAAAGAACCTGTCTAAAAAAAAAGAAACCAGACAGACAACAACAAAAGTGTTATTTCAAAGCTAGTGCAGAGTTTCTAAATGTTCCACAGCACTTCCCCTACCATTAGCATATTAGTATGTAAGGGCCCCGGCAGGGGTGAAGCTATTCTAAGGAGAGACACTTGTGCCCTCCTTTGGGCTACGACACTATTGAAATTGTGGTCCTCAAGAAATTGGAATCTCCCCAAGAGTCTCATGCTGGGAAAAGGACAAGGCTGAAGGCTGGTACTAGCCGAGGAGGAATTGCCTCCAAGAGAGGGACCTCACTGCTCAGTTACGCATACCTCTGCACTTCTGCTTGAACCTAAGCCTCATGTTGGGACCCCAGGAAGGGCCTGTGGGGAGGGGACTTGAGTGGTCACTGATGACTTTGTTCCTCTTCCCCATGTGAATTGAATACATCTCCTTTCTCTGCTTTCCACTATGACTTGTCTCCTTAACTGGCCTATTGAGAATGGGGGGTCCAAACCTGGCTTGTTAGGGCCCGGGCTCAGACCTTAAGAACTCGTATACTGCATGTATCACAATTAGCCAATGTTGTCACATTATCATTAGCTGATTCGTTTATACCACGTCATAGTTCCTCAGTTTTTCTCCCCAAGGCTCTGGGCCGAGGGTTCGTCTTGGACTGCTTTCTATCCAGCTGTTTCATTTCCTTTGGCTCTTCTGGGATTCGGCAGGTTCTTGGTGAATTTTCAGATGACTTCCTTGTGTTTGGGTCCTGTGATTGGAGAAGGCCAGCAGATCCCTCCCCTTTGGGTGTGCTCTCAGAAGGACTTACTGGTCCTCTGGTAGATTGTCTGTCATGGTGCCACTCTGTTTTCGTCCTCTTCTGTCCTAAATGCAGTCCATGTTTTGGGAGTGGGCAGTTCCATCCGGCTAGTCTGGGTAGCCCACATGCACATGCAGAATGCTTGTTCGTGGGAGTTTATCTCTTCTTGATATCTCATAATTGGTTTATGTAGACATGACTCATACATATTTATCTGGGAAGCTGGAGTCCACTGCTGCCCTCCAGGCTTGTGCAAAGGATGCTGTCTGGTCCTTGGGGGCTTCGGCTGGTTCTGCAGACTCCTTGACGTGGGAGAGGAACACCCTGAGGTGGGCGTCTCCCGGCAGCGGCGTGAGAGTCCTTCCATCCTCTCGCCTACCTGGTGAAGCATGACTGCAGAGGTCCCTCAAAGCCTGGCCTTTCTTTATCCTTCCCTCTGACCTCCACATTATCTTGCCCTGACTGACTAACAGGGAAGACCAAAGCTAAATACCGGCAAGTACCATTAGCCTCAGCCAGGCTGCGGGGGATAAGGTTGGACAGCAGCCCTTTAGCTGGCTGCAGATGCACGGTCAGTCAGAACCTGCTGGCCCCCCAGAGCCTGTCCACACAGCCAACAGAACCAGGCAAATCCAGAGGTCAGACCCTGGGCCTCGCACACTCTAGCACCATGCCTTTTGTTTGTTTGTTTGTTTTTTCTTTTTTAAACACCATAAGCCATTAAAGGCCCGGTTTCTTTTCTTTTTTTAATATAGCAAAAGCTTAACTGCTAAGTGAGGGCTATTTGAATTTTCCTTTTTGCTCTTGAGACAGGGTCTCATTATGTAGCTCTGATTAGCCTCAACCTTGGATCCTCCTGCCTCGGCCTCCTGAGTGCTGGGATTTCAGGCATGTGCTTTAATGCTCCATTACACTCAGTCCAGCCTCATGGGAAGCAGAAGGAATTACATTGCTCCAGGGAGGGCGAGTTATGAGAATCGAATTCATGAAGCAAGGAAAGTATGTGCACAGAGGTGAGGTAAGTAACGATAATTATTATCGATATTGATAATTATGCATACATTGATAGAAGCAGAGAAAGAGATATGTTGGGGGCGGGGGAATTGGAGGGGGAGTGTGGGAGGTGGCTATGAACACAGCACACTGAATACATGTATGCAGTTTTCAAAGAGAAAAAGACATACTCCAGAATTTGCAACATTCCTAACTGTTGCAGTGGTTCAGTCGGGTAAGAGCTCTAGGCTGAGGGGGCTGACACCTCATTTTACTTTAGTGTGTATTCTCTATATATTTCTTAGTATATAGTAATTATTTTAATTTATTTTCAGCCTGGGAATCTCTAGTCTAAAACCCTGGGGAGCACCCCGACAGTTTCTAACGAGAAGGATCATTGCAGCTGCAAAAGGCGGCTGGCTGGGGACCCATCTGTGTCAATAGGACAGTCTCAGTGAAGGCTTGTGATGGCATCTGGGCTGCCTGGGTGATCACGAAGAGGGGTGGGGGATGAGCTTTGCTCTGGGTTGGATACCATCGAGATGTTGGGGTGATGTGGTGTTCTTAGTAAATCTCCGTAGTGCAGGCAGACAGGACAGGCTCTAGACCAGAGCTAACCCACATGGAAACAGTGGTCCCTCCTCTTAGGTACAATTTGGAGAAATCAAGCTAGGTTTGTGGCCTAGATGTGGTCATGCTGGGTTTTGTACAGACACAGTGATGGAGAGGACTTGTTTCTGTTCATCAGTCACAAAAGGGTATCACTTTTGATGGTGTTATGTGAAGTCCTTATGCCCCACACAGGCCAGACCTGTCAACTGTGAGCCTCAGACTGTCTTGCAGGGACACCTGAGCCTGGCAGTACCTTTCTGAGTTCAGCTCCTGGAGGTTGACCTGTTTCCTTCCTTCTCAGCTGACATCAACACCAATTCGAGTGGACCTTTTCCCCTTTGAAGAGTGGACTGGGGTGTGAAGAGTGAACTGGGGTGTGAAGAGTAGACTGGGGTGTGAAGAGTGGACTGGGGTGTGAAGAGTGGACTGGGGTGTGAAGAGTGGACTGGGGTGTGAAGAGTGGACTGGGGTGTGAAGAGTGGACTGGGGTGTGAAGAGTGGACTGGGGTGTGAAGAGTGGACTGGGGTGTGAAGAGTGGACTGGGGTGTGAAGAGTGGACTGGGGTGTGAAGAGTGAACTGGGGTGTGAAGAGTAGACTGGGGTGTGAAGAGTGGACTGGGGTGTGAAGAGTGGACTGGGGTGTGAAGAGTGGACTGGGGTGTGAAGAGTGGACTGGGGTGTGACTCAACGTGAGACCAAAGAGGAAGTGTGGGAATTTGAAGACCACGCATAACATTGGAAAAATGCACAGGCCCCTGAGCCCAGGCCCTGAGCCACCAAACATGCAAATTCTTACTCCAGACCAGTCACGTACAAGCTTTGTGGTCTTTTGCAGCGTGCTCTTCCAGGTCACCCTACAGCACCTCTTCTGCCCTGCTCTACTGGTCTGAGCAGTTGCAAGGCTCCAGTGGGGAAGGACAAGGTGGTGAATCACCCCTTGATGGAAGACTGTCAAAGAATGTGTAGCTCTTCTAACACACACACACACACACACACACACACACACACACACACACACACACACACAACTGCAGGTAATGTGCACATGTGGAAGTCACATTCCCATATTAAGCAGGCATGTGATTAGGTTCTGCAGATTATTTTATTTATTTATTTATTATTTCAGTCTGTGGGCGTTTTGTCTGATTGTATGTCTGTGTACCACATGTGTGCCTGGTGCCTCCTTGAGTCTGGAAGAGGGCAAGGCGGTGGATTCCCTGGAACTGGAGTTACAGAGAGTTGTGAACTGCCTTGTATGTCCTGGAAAGCAAACCCTAGTCCCCTTGGAAAGAGAGTCTACTGTGATCTCAAGGCTGGGGAGACTTGGAATTGGAGGAGAATAGACTCTCAGCCTCCCCTGGAGGAGGGCACCCCCTGTCTGCAAGCTTCTCCCACCTGCTGCAACCCCACCTTCTGAGGTGTCAAGTTCAGTCTGCCTCAGGTCATGGCAAGGCATCCCTGCATTTGGCAGGAGGAGGAAGAGTGTAGGTACTACAGAGGCCGTGCCTCAAGCACCCAGCATTTCACAATGGACAGACACAGGGAGGCAGGTGACTCTTTGTAATTTGGGGGCAAGGTAAGCTGTCTCTGGTGTCCTAGAATGTCAAGGATGAGCCCTGGGCACTGATTTCTGGGTGGGGCCCACTTGCACAGAGCCATCTGGTTTGAGAATCCTCCTATGGCATCAGTCTCTGTAGGGCTGTGTGTCAGGCACCCATTGGCCGCAGCATCATGCGTGTGCCATGCAGTGAGTAGCTGGGGCCTCGGAAGTAGTGCCAGCGGATGCCATTGATCTTGTGCAAGTGTTGATGAACTGGATAGTAGATGCCGTTGAGGTTGGAGAGGCCACAGGCGTCAAACCACCAGCCTAGTGGAAGAAGGAGGACAGAGTTTGGGGGAGGTGGGATGTGGTGGCCTGGATTCTAGGAGGGTAGGGCTGGTGGACTGTCGTCTTGGGGTGCCAGCTTGCTGAGGGCAGTGGGCTGGGTATGGGCAGAGGTGAAGCCAGAGCTTTGGAGGGCAGCAGAGGCTCTGGTCACAGCTCAGGCCCCTCTGTGACTTCCTGCTGTCTCTCGGACACCCCTATCTCCCTGTTTTGTCCTTGACGACCTCCTACCATGCTGTCATGTCTTCCCGTTGTTCTCTCTAGAGGCCTCTGTGTGTCCTCTGTCTGTGTCATCTTGCTTGTGTGGTTTCTGTCCTTGTTGAACTGTCTTCCCGTGGGGCTCCGTCTCCAGTGTGGTTTGCACCTCCTGCCCATCTTTATTCCTCTCCTTGCTCTGTCTGCCATCATCTGCACCTCTCTGCCTCGGCCACTTTGTGTCACTGTTGGCCTCCTCTGGCCCTGTTCTCTGTGACTTGAGTCTCTTCCATCTGCGTTTCTCCTACCCCATCTCCTTCCCCCGGCCTTTGCTCCTGCCAGAGCACTGCCTGACACAGAGGTGTGGAATGGACCTGCCTTTCCTGCCTCTGCTCTCCCCCTTGCTGTTTCCACCTGGCCTGGGGAGTAGGGGAATCCTCAGACAATTCATGGACATCATGCTTTCCTGGAGCTACTCTTGGTGTCTCCCAGCTGGTCTCTAAGGAAATCTAGGGGTGTCTCTATAGGAGGTACAACCCCATGGGGACTCCAGTGACCTGGAAGAGGGAGGTTTGTCTGGAGCTTCACCAGGAACACCCGCCTCCAGACGTCATCTGGACATACCCTCCTCCACCTCCAGATGTCATCTAAACACACCCACCTCCAGACATCTGGACACACCCACCTCCAGACATCATCTGGACACACCCACCTCCAGACATCATCTGGACATACCCTCCTCCACCTCCAGACGTCATCTAAACACACCCACCTCCAGACATCATTTGAGCACATTTGCACATGCAGTTATCATTGTCCATGTCGCTGGTGCTGAACTTGGTGCCGCGTGGAGCCAGGCTGTTCTTGAGCCCCATTGAGCTGCTGCTAGCGTTCACAGAGAGGCTAGAAGCCCAGGAGAGGGGTGTAGAGTCAGGTTGGTGCTCCCCAAAGGGCTTTGTTCTGGCAAAGTTTCCTTCCTGATTTTTTTGCAGGAGAAACAGCCTGCTCTGAGGCCTAGGCCATTGTCCCTCCTGGTGACCCTCCTCACTTCCCTGGGGTCACAGCACTTACTGCTGCTAGCTCTTTCTTATTTGCTGAATTTGGGTCCTAGAGAGCTCTGAGTGGGAGACACAGAATAAGGACAGCAGCCAGCAGTCTTTCTGCTCTGGGCTAGGCATTGTTACAATGTCTTGAGAGGGCTAACTCATTTCCATTTACACCTCACAATACCTTTTTCTACATGAGGATGTGGGGATGCAAGAGCCAAAGGAAGCTGCTCGGTTTTCAGAGTCAGTAACTGCCAGAGCTCTGGTCCAGTCTGGAGTGGCTTGGTATGGGCAGGGTTGCATCCTTTGCCTGCCAGCTCACAGCCCTGTAACTTCAATGCATTGCAGCCGCTCTATTCCACACCTCTGCCTGAAAGCCTTCCCTGGACACACCAGCCCCCATGGATCAACACTCAGAAAACCCCCAGCTAGGGGACAGAGGGCTTCTAATTCTTTGCCAGACTCTGGTATATCCCTGGTGACTATGTCCAAGCCTACAGGGTGATAACGGCTGTGGGATGGGGGTAGGGCTGAGTGCCTGCATTCAACCCCAGCATGGCTGGTTGGTCACTGCCTGGCTTTGGGAAAGCATCTTCACCCCACTGAGGCTTCGTGTCTTCACTTATTGAAATGGTGCCAAGAGACTTACTGTGACTTTGTTCACCTTGTGATTTAGTGACATCAGCAGGTGAAGTACACTGAGGGGTGGGGGTGGGGCTTGGTGAGAGCCCTACACATTCAGGACTGGGGATTCAGTCCTTGGGACAGGTGAGCCTGGCTGAAAAATCTTGCCTGAGCAGCCGAGGCAGGGGTTGACTTGGGAGCCACTAAGATGCTTCCATAGTAGAGGGAAGCAGATGGCCGGGACAGCCAGGGCAGGACCTGGCAGGCAGCCCTGTGGGCCCAAGGAAGCATGGGGCCTCTATATGGCTGGCTCAGTCCATGCCTCTCACCCAGAAGCTCTATCTGTCTGTGGCAAGGCAGGGCATTCACGACCAGCCACGAAGGCCCAAGTGTGCCCTTAAATGTGCTGCTCTAGTCCTGAGGACCAGTGTTGCATAGAGGTGGGGCCAGCTAGGGACTCCAGGGTGGGGACTCACAGGCTGCCCACCCACTTACAGGATCTGGCTTCTTCCTCTGGCCATTAAACTCAATCATGTCCCTCTTCTTTCTGGGAATCAGAACGGGAGTCAGTGATTCTCTGGGGACCTCAGGGTCCAGGAAACCTCACTTTGATCATGTATGCCTGAAGAAACCCAGGTACTTGAATCTCTTGTGAATTCCCAAGTGAGAGCATGAAGCGTGTCCCACCATGTTCAGAGGGTTCCTGTCACTGCATCTGACAAACAAGGGCGCCTCCTGCCTGTCGCTGCTAGCCCTTTCATCCCCTCCTCTGGGCTTTTCTGTGGGTCCTCCCACCTTAGATGCTGACCTGGAGTTGGGACCCAGTACAAGCTGTCATCCGTCTCCCCCCCCCTCCTCCTTTGGCGGTTTCCAGGCCTTCCAGTGGTTTCCAGGACACCCATGCCCACCTCCCAGCCAGTCTTTCTGGCTTTTCCTTTATAAGTGGACACTTTATGGCCCCAGAAGCCCTAGTGAATATTTTATTCAGGTTTAGGAGATGTGTAATCCAGTTGGATGTATGTGGGTGCGTGTGTAGGTGTGTGTGTGTGTGTACAAGTGTACATATATGTTTGTGTGCATACAGAGGCCAGAGGACAATCTTGGGTGTCCTTCCTCAGGCATTTAAAATTTTCTGAGACATGGTATTTATTTCATTGGCCCAGTGAGCTCCAGTGAGCCTCCTGACTCCACTTCTCCAGCACTCGGGGTATAAGCATGTGCCTCCATGCCTGGCTCTAAAATTTTGGGTTCTGGGTTTGAACTTGGATCATTATGCTGGAAAGGCATGAGCTTTATTGACTGAGCTATCTTTCCATCCCTTCCTGCCATTTTTGAGGACACTTAACTTTCTGGGATTCCCCTCCAAAACAAAAGCCTCACCCCTCCCAGGAGACCTCTTTGATTGTCCTGATACAGCTCCTGGATATTGACCCTGGCAGCTACTGCCTCTCTGGAGGAAGTGGGTTGCCCGTGAACATGTCTATCCCCTACCACACTATTACCACACTGGGATATGAGCAGCTTTGAGGAGGTAGGTCCAGGCCAGAGTCTTTCCCAAGTGACCAGCACACTCCTGACCTAGGGCAAGTTTCAATACCCTGTCATTAGGGCTCTGCAGCCTATTAAGTACATGCTGCTCTTTGAGGCATGACAGAGCGGGTAGCAGGGAGCTCTCCATGGTTCAGAGACAAAGCCAGAGGTGTATAAAAGACCACTCTGCATGCAAAGAGCTTAGGGAAGGCAGAGACCTGAGCACAACTTTGTGTGGTGGAACACAAACCTCGTAGATTGTTAGACAGATGTTGGGGTGGTGTAGTTCGGCCTTTGAATCTAGCATTTAAAGATCTCCAACACTCATCAAATGCTAGGTGCCTTACCATAGGTTATGATGCCAGACTCTGGCACTCGCAGAGCAGGCCAGTGGCATAAGAAGTCTGCAACAGGAAAAGCTACTACGATACTATTTACCTGGGTGGGGGGAGTATGATCAGGACGTCCGTCCACTCAGCAAATGAAAGGGTAGAGGGATTTGCTCAGGGTCACTCAGAAAGGGGTGCAGGTGGGACATGGCCTTTCCTTTAAGGGTCATTGGCATCAGTAGGCACCAGCAGGGTGTGTCAAGTTCTCCCTGATCAGCTCGGAGGATCTGGAGCTCCTGCACAGCTCTAGGGATGCTCCCTCCAGCTCTGCCTCCTGCACCTCAAGCATCAGGGTGGGTAGAAGGCCCACTCCGCTGGAGGAAGCTAGGGCATGTCATAAGAAAAGAGAGGTATGGGGAGGGATGCCAGGGGAGTCCCTAGGCATAAATTTACAGGGAAGAGAGTCATTTGGAAATTCCCTGGGGGGAAGTAAGAGCTTCCTCAGCTTTCCGGAAGTTGTCTGCAGTTATAGAGGGGACAGATGTCAGGGGGCATCTTTGCAGCCCCATGGGTGAGTCCATGAGCTCATTCTGGCCTGATTCAAAGGTAGCCAAGACACTGGCTTAATTTGAAGATCAGTAGGTGTCTCAGAGGGGCGACATCAGAGAGTGGAGACACAGTGGGTTTGATAACAGGGAGAGAACTAAGTTCAAATCCAGGATCCATCTAACTTGTCATTTTAGACTTAAAGACTCAGTTTCCTTATCACTAAACCATGTATAGTAATGTCTGTCTCATAAGATTGAGAAGAGAATTACACTGTATCCAGAACATCTCAGGTACCTGGGAAATGCTTCGTTTCCTTACCACACACCATAAACCAGACAGGGAAGGGGCGGGAAGCCTTGATGACTTGACCATAGCCTTACTCCCAACACCGCTGAAGAGCACAGAGGATGCTGACCTCACTGTGCCCCAGTTTTGTTCAGAGCTGCAAATGGCAGTACTGGGAAGGGCTCCCCTCCTTTCTCCCAGTGTGGGGACTTTTGCACCTTACCACAGGGCACAGGACAAACTGAGAAGTCAGCCCCACTCCTGCTGTCTGTAAATGAATGGGGTGACTAACCTTGGAAGATCCCTTCTTGCTCTAGGCACGGTGGCGTCAGTGACAGTCTCTTCACCCCACCCAGTGGCCAAGATGTGCTGAGTGCTAAGCAGCCACCTCCAGATCCCGTGACGTGCACCCAAATGGGGGCCAGATGGTGGAAGAAGGAGACGCCCAGGGAATGACCCTGGGTGAAGACTCTGCAGCCACTTGCCTTGGGACCCCAAACCACCCACAAGCCTGGGCCCCAAGCCCACCTGTACCGCTGCCTCTCATTGCCCAGCTGGAAGTGCTCATACTGGATGGAGGTCTGGCGGCCTTCCCAGTCCTGCAGCTCCACACGCAGCAAATAGGCCGTCCTGCTGGTGAGGTGGTGCACAGCCTCGTTGCCCAGCCAATGTTCTCTAGCCACATTACCAAAACCCTGTGGGGGAGGAGAGGAAAGGGTGGCTGTGTGCTGAAGAGGGATGGGGCGGGGGTGTCTGTGTCTGAGGAGCTGGGCCAGCCCAGGCTCCATGGCCACTTATCCAAGGTCAGTGCCTGATGAGCAAATTCATAAGAACAGTGTGCATTGCATGGGCCTGGGGCAGGGGCTCCCTCCCAGAGACCAAAGATAAAGTGTTTGTAAAATTCAAGCCCACTAAAAATAACTGAAATCACATTCCTCCTAAGTCAGAAACACTCAAAACTCATTTGTGGTGATGGAGATTGGAATAGCAGGGGAATGGCTCAGCGGGGAAGCGCAATTGCTGTGCAGGCGTGAGGGCTTGAGGTAGAATCCCCGACACCCATGCACAAAGCAGAGACAAGAGGACCACAGAGGCTTGCTGGCCACCAGCCTAGCTCCAGTCGAGTAAGAGACTCAAGGGAGTGAGAAAGGGGGTCACAGAGCAGGACACCTGACACCCTCCACTGGCCTCCTAGCGTGACTGGGAGCACAAACCCACACGGGGGTGTGTGTGTGTGTGTGTGTGTGTGTGTGTACACCGCACAAGTAAACTCACACCCACAGACAATAAAATAAACATAAGGAAGAAACAGCCACTACCTTTGGGGACACACCTAGGGAGAGGGGGCAGGGGGCTTTCCAGGAAGTTGGGTATTTAGGTGTGAAGGGCAGTCACATGGGTGAGCCTGTGGTGAGATTCACAGAGCTTTCTGCTTTATAGTTGCGGACTCAGCTGCTTGCAAGTTAAGCCTCAGCAGGAAGGAAGCGGCTGAGCAGCTGAGCCAGCTGCCCGGCAGGAGTGGCAGGAGCACATTTTCCCAGAGGCAGGAGAGAGGCCCAATAGTTTCCACAACAGAGAAATGCAAGGCCATAAGTCCTCAGAGTGTCTTTGTGACCCAAGCTCCAGGGTAGCAAGAAACCGATGACCTTGGCAGAGAAATTTCTCAGGACCAAGGACAGGGGCACACAGAGTCTGCTGTGGCCTTGATCTGCGGGCTGCTTAACGCTTTAAGTCTTTGTCTGGAAGATGGCTGGTGGACACCGATTGCTTGTGAATATCTTTTTGTAGTTCTTTTACTTTTGAAAACTTTAAGGGCTTTTAAGTCATCTTGCCAAAAATCCTGTGTTCAAAATTTAACTGAAAACGTAAAATTGGAAGGCAGCTCAGCACTCGCTGCCATCCTATACAACACACGTGTTCCTAGAGGCAGCAGCCCCACCTTGGAGAATTACCCCTATAATCCTAGTGTTGTGAAGGTGGAGACAGGAGGATCAGAAGGTCAACTACAAGGAGACTTTGAGGTCAACTTGAAATACAGGAAATCCAGAAGAAGATGAGGAGGAAGAAGAAGAGAAATTTGTTTTGTAGATGTGTTACAGATGTATACAAAGATGAGGAAATTCATAGAGCCTTTAATTCTAGTACTCAGGAAGCAGAGGCAGGTGTGTTTTAGGCCAGCCTGGTCTACATAGTGAATTCCAGGAGAGCCAGTACTAGAGAGAGAGAGACCCTATCTAAAAAAAAGAAAGAAAAGAAAAGAAGAAAAGGAGGAGGAAGAAGAGGAGGAGGAGGAAGAGGAGGAGGAAGAAGAAGTTCATTTAAGTCATACAGTCAGAGATGATGGGGACTTTTTTTTCCCCATTTCATTCTTTGCATTATTCTTGCGTGTGTGTGTGTGTGTGTGTGTGTGTGTGTGTGTGTGCATGAGCATGTGCTGTGTGTGCATATGTATGTGTGTTTGTGTGTGTGTGCATGTGTGTTCAATGTGGACTGTGTGTGTGCTTTGCACATGCGCATGTGTTGTGTATGTGCAGTGTGTGTGTGCAGTGTGTGTGTGTGTGTGTGTGTGTGTGTGTGTGTGTGTGTGTGTGTGTGTGTGTGTAGTGCAGAGGTCAACCCCAGGGGTCACTCCTCAGGAGTTGTCCTCCTTGTTTTTGAGATAAGATCTCTTGCTGGCCTGGAGCTCGGCGATTTACTAGGCTGATTAGTCTTTGAGCTCCAGGGATCTGTCTGTCTGTGTCTCCAGATCTGGAACCACAGGTTTGTACCACTCTTCCCAGATTTCTTCTATGGGTTCTGGGGATTAAACTTAGGTTCCTGTGTTCACCCAGGAAGCATTTCACTACTGAGCTACCTTCCCAGTCCCTCCTGGGAGTCGTTAAAAAGTGTTACCAATGTGCATGTGTTACTTTTGCAAATATTAAAACAAAAATAAAATTCCATTCTTAGGACACATGTGAGAAATGTCAAAAGAGGGCTCAATTTGAGGTTGGGGTCTGGAAAAGCAAATGAGCCTGGCTTTAGATGAGCTGGGCTTTTGCCCTGGGGAGAGGTAAGGACAAACCAGTTCCCACCCACAGCATCCCCTTCACAGGCTCTGGGCTGGGAGTCCCCAGAACAGCATATTACCTCTTTGTATTCCTCCCAAGTCCTCTGGAAACTCATGCTTCCATCCTGCCTGCGCTGGATGAGAGTCCAACCACCTCCGTCAGTCTCCATGTCACAGAACACCTGGTGGTGGGGGGGGGGGGGACACACAGCACAGCTGGAAGCTCTTGAAGGTGCCACAAGCCAGCCTAAATGTAACTTGACTGAACTCTGCCCTTCTCCAGCTCTTGAACCTGAGGTCAAGAACATCAGGAAAAGCCAGACTCAGACTCCCCACTCACTTCGATTATCTTTCAAGGAGGCAGGTGAGAGGCAGGAGGACACCCTCTAAGAACCTCCTCCTCGTTTGTGAAGTGGGGATGTTCATACTGTGAACTCTTTATGCCCCAGTTCTCCTCTGCAAATGATATAAACCATGGAAAACATTCCGAATAGAGGCACACACACACACACACACACACACACACACACACACACACACACACACACACAAGGTGCTTCTGATTTGTTAGTACTGCAGGGGTGCAGCCAGGGTCAAAGTTCACATTAGACACGTGACAGGAACAACCTGAGGGAGGAAGGACTTATTTTGCTCATGGCTTAGGAGTGGTTTTGGGACACAGTTGCTTGGCATTCATTATGGGACAGAACATTATGGCGGTGAGAGCGTGCGTGTGTGTGTGTGTGTGTGTGTGTGTGTGTGTGTGTGTGTTGCTTTGACAAATGGTAGATAGGAAACAGAGAGTGAAGAAGGACTGTTTCTACTGACCCACTTTTTCTAAGAAGGCTCTATTGTCTATACTTTTCAGAACCTTCCAGAATAGCACCACTAGCCAAAAACCAAGTACTTGGCTCATGACCTCATGAGGTCAAACCACAGCAAGCAGAGGGAATTGGATGCAGTGTAGATGCAGGACTCGCTATTCCTATGGGCAGACTGGATTAATGTCTTCTGAGCACCTATACACTAAACTCTGTTCAAGGCAGGGGTTGTATGTATGAATAGATGAAAAGTCCCATTTTTCAGAGGGCTTGCAGCCTGGCTCAGCTCAATCTTTCAGCCTAGATTTGCTTACATACTCTTCCAACTGGTTCAGTACATGTTCTTCAGACAACGAACATGGGTATGTTGCCTGGCCCTGCACTAAATGAGTTAGTTATTGGTAAATAGGAGATAGATAAATCACAGGGCTGGCTGGCTTTGGAGGAGGCTTTGATAGGGCAAGCTGACTACTGGGAGTATGACTGCTTGGGTAGCTACAAGGAGGTAGTCACTGGAGACTTCTGGAAAGCTTCCTGGAGGAGGTGGCTTTGGAAGAGGGTATCAAGTGATGATGTACTTCTAAGTAGAAATGGATGGAATTTTCAGAGAGAGAGAGGGAGAGAGGGAGAAAGAGAAGCAGGAGTAGGGCTCAGCAGACCCCCAGAAGAAAGCAAGGGAAGGCAGCTGTTGTGGCGAGTGCAAAGGGTACAGGGAAGCCCAGAGAGGTGTGCAGCTAAGAGAGACCAAAGACACAGAGATCTGTGCTCAGAACTCTTGCCTCCCAGGCTACCTCCTGTCTCTCCATTAGTGGCTCCAAATTCCATCCGTTCACATCTGCCCACATTCCACCGCAGCTGAACTTACTCAACTTCACAGGACACATTTACTTTCGAAGTGCTCACACCCAGCGGGTAAAAGCCCGTTGGAAAGGAAGCCTTATCAGTATTGTAAAGGGAAAGCCAGAGACACTCGCCTTATCCAGATGCCTGTAAATACCAGGAAAGCAAGAGTGTTCTGAAGAACCGGCTAGACTGGCCAGGGCAAGGTCCTTGGCTTGATCTCTTTGTGTGGAAAGGGGAGTGTGGCAGCTTATGTAGAAACACGAAAGTCAAGCTGGGGTCAAACAAGGCTACTGCCCCCAACGCATGCAGAGAAGTCAGACTGGAACTTTCCCTAAAGGATCGCTTCCACTCCCTCTGGCCTGCCCCAAACCTCGCTCCTGGCATCTGTACTTCCCCTGACCCCTATCGCAGGGGGAGGGGCGGGTGGACAGACAGACAGATGACTGTCAAGCTCAGGGCACCCTTGGAGCCTCTCACTGGATGCCCCCTCCCCCATTAGCCCATCACCAGCTTCACAGACCCAGCTCCTGCTTCTCCGGGACTGTGTGAACAGAATAACCTGCTTGGGCAAAGACAAACAGGAGTGCCCACGGCCATCCGTGACATGAGTGGCCGACCATCTCTACCAACAAAGAACAGTTTCCTGAGACTTGGCTTAGAAACCTGGTTCTGGAGAAGATGGTGAGGGTATACTGCCAGCTTTGTGAACTTCTGCTTCATCCCTTCCTCAGAAACCTGCCCGGTGTGAGTTTCCAGAAACAGGGCTCCCGCCTTCTCTGGGCTCTCAGATGGGGGATAAAGCCTAGCATTGATGTTGTGCGGTGAAAGGGTCTGTCAGAGAAGCTCTCAGCTCAGCACCATGTCAAAGACCCCGTCCAGGGTCCAAGCTCCTAACCTTGAGAGGCCTTGTCATGTTGGCCACACGGATGGTGTAGACGCCGCTGGTGTTGGCTCCGGAGCGCTTGATCTCTGCACAGTCCTGGAGCAGCTGCTTAGGTATCTTAAAGGAGACTGCAGCGGGACAAAGCAAATGTCAGCTGTAACACAGGCATGGCAGTGCCCACCCGGAAGGCCAGCACTGGGTAGCAGAGGTAGGAGCGTCTGGATTTGAGACCTACCTGGATCATAAGATCTTGTTTCAAAATGAAGGAAGGAAGGAGAGAAAGAAGGGGAGGGGAGGAAGAGAGGGAGAGACTGAGAGAGGGAGAGAGGAGAAAACATCAGCTGGAAGTGAGGGGAGAGAGAGAGAGAGAGAGAGAGAGAGAGAGAGAGAGAGAGAGAGAGAGAGAGAAAGAGAAGAGACCAGGCTGGCACACCTGCCTGCTCTGTGCACATTCTGCCTGGGGAGGGATGGGGACAGGAAGATGAAGGAGGTCTCTTCCAGGAGGGGAGGGTAAACTGTGACCATCCAGGCGAGGTGGGGGGTGGGTATCTGTGCAGAGGGAGCAGCATGCTATCAATATCCCCGGGTAGGAACAGCTCTCTGCAGGGGATGGGGTGAAGGGAGGCTCATCGGTGTCCACCCTGAGATTAGGGGCGCTGGCACAGACAGGGTGAGGAAAGGAAGAACAGCAAGAAGCCTGGGCTTCTGCAGACTCAGCAGCTTCAAACGCCAGCCGGAGAGACCTGACTCAGGGCTCTGGCAGAGTGCTTTGCCCGAGTGGATCGGGCTGGAGCAGGGGATGCCCACGCTGCCAAGCTCCAGCACATGGAGAGGGCAGGTGACACCTGCCTCTCACTGAGGCACTTCCCGTGTCCCAGGGCCGGAAACTGAAGCACAGGATGAGGACTGACTTAAGGGCTCCCAGCCTCCCCTTCCTGAAGTGCCTTTGGGAGGGACCTGGGCTTTCCTATGGCCCACCAACAGGCTGGATCTCCTGCAGCCCGGTTAGAGACCACTCATCCTGCTCTTCCTGGAAGTTGATGACTGGCCTTCAAGGGTCCATATATATTCCCTAAGCAAAGTGTTCTTGGGAGCTATTAATTTAATGACTGGAATCTACCATGACCCTCTGGATATACAGGGAGTTAAAAGTCATCTGTCTATCTCACTTAGGCTTGGCATGTGATTCTACTAGAAGCCAATCTCTCTGAGAGGCAGGGACCTAAGGATGGAGCTGAAGTTGTGGAGGGATGGTTATTAATACAAATAAAAAGACAGGATGATACCAGGGGTGAGACTTCCTGTTTGGGCCTTGTACCTGGATGGTGACTCCCAGATACTGTCGTTGTAAGACACATTTGAAGGAGGCTGTTCCATACCACAAATGAAATGTCTAGAATGTTTCCTGAGCAGGGGCCTCTAGTACCAACATGTCAGCAGCCCCCAGATCCCCACAGCTCATAGGGATAGGGAGGCCAGACAAATACAGGGGAGGTAATGGCTTAGACATAAGCAGGGACAGGCCATGCTGTACCTAACAAATCAGGGCAGAGCTGGGAGCTGGCCTCCAGTTTCTAGCTACTCTCTCCGAGGCTCTGTCCACAGCCCATTTCCTCAGTGAACAGTAGCAACAACAACAGTCCAATAAAAGTGCTTTTACCTGGGACTGTCATGTTGGAGGGTTTCCTAGGAGCCAGGGTCTGTTGCGAGCATCTTGGGGTCAGGAAAAAATGATTCCGAGGACGGCATAAAAATAAAACAGGACTGATACGGCCATAAAACAGTTCGATGGAATGTGTGCCTGGGTGCTAACCCTGTCCAGTTCCACTCCCTCCTGGCCCTGGGCACCATGCAGAGTCCCTGTCAGTGTGGCCTTTACTGTGTCCTCTGCACAGAAGTGCTGGAGGCTTCTGTCCTACCATGTAAGTGAGAGGTCACGTGACTTGAGAGGTGAGGGAAGCAGCCAGGCTTGAACCCTGCTCTCTTCACTGGCTGGTTCTTCCCCTCTCTACCCTTCCCCGGGCTTGGGTGTCGCAGCTGAGTACAGGGAGACTGGGCAAATGGACTGCTGACGGATGCTGCTTTCACACGGGCAAGGCTGTGACCCTGTCCTCACGGTGTGACTCTGACTCCCTGAGATAGCTGGGCTTTTCCCCCCTCCTCTCCCCAGGTACCACTGGCTGGGAGAAAGCTCTGCAGAAGAGGACGCTGACTCTCCACCAGGCTTCAGCACGCCCTGACTCATCCTTTGCTCAGCTCCCCTTCACCATCTCCCATGGGCTCTCCGTCTGTCCAGAGGGCGAAAAGGAACTCCTGAAAGCCTTTTCCTGGTGACAGTCAGGCAAGTGGACAGGTGTTTGGACAGTGAGTGATGAGTGCTTGACACAACCTCCCGCTGGGCTCCGGGAATAGACATTCAGCCATAGCGGGAGGCAGTAGAGCTGTGGGCCTGTGGAGAAAGGCACCAGCCCAGGCCCTGGCCCTGTCTGCGAGAAACCATGGGACTCATTCTGGTTGTCTTGCTGCCAGGGCTGTACACAACCCCATAATGGCTTCTGGTCACTTCTGGGTTAGAAGGCATCTACCTCTCCTATTCATGGCTTCCGTGGCCTGTTAGACTTAGGGAAGTCATGGTGGGATCCTCCGCTCCAGTTTCCTGTCAGGCTGGGACTCCTTCACATGCTTAAAGCTGGGTACCTTACTGAAGGCCCAGCTCCTCCAAGGTGGTTGCAGGTTGTCCTACAGCAGGAGCATTTCCCCTTTGCCATCTTCCCCCACCAAGCCAAGCCAGTATCCACTCCATACTAGTCTGTGCTTTCTAAAAGAAGTCCCACCCCACCTAGCCCCTCTTGTGCCGCTGCTGGCCCTAGGCTGAAGTGCCCTCTTCCCAGCTCAGCCCCTTAGCCTTCTGAGCTGTGGAAGCTGTAGGTGGATAGCTAAGAGTACCTGGGATACAGTGGACCCTCAGTGAAGAGGCATTTCCTCCTCCTTCCCACAGAGACCTGCCAAGCGGTGGGAAGGTTTTCAGGAGACAGAGACCACAGCAGCTGTGTGCTGCTGGGTTCCTGCCCCCCAAGCCCTGCCTGGCACACAGTGGGTGCTCAATACATGCTTGTTGACTGAGTGACTGCAGATGGAACCGGGCATGCCAAAGAGGGCTGTGGAGCAAGGTAGGCATGTCTGTCCTTTCTATGGCAGTCTGGGGACGCCACATTTCTTTCCACTTCCATATGGCTCTCTAAGCCCAGGAGCAGGAGCATGAAGGGGAGCAAATTCTTGGGACTCATTGTGTCTGACTCCTCCATTTTATGGGGAAACTGAGGCCCAGGGAGGCATGTAGCAAGCCAAGCAAGAGGAGCTGGATGGCTGGGTATAGTGACACACGGCTTTAATCTGACACTTGAAAGGCAGAGGCAGGTAGATCTTTGAGGCCAGCCCAGTCTACATAAGAAGTTCCAAGCCAGAGCGATCAGATAAGACCCTGTTTCAAAGGAAAAAAAAAAAAAAAGAGCTGGGACACAGACTAGTCAGTGTAGGCTGCGGTTGTCTGGGCTGTTATCTCATCTCTATTCAGCAGATGGGGAAACCGAGGCCAGGAGCGAACTAGGAGCCTAGCTAAGGTCTCTTCCCTCCGCTCTGTGGCTCTCCACCCCGCCCATGCATACTCCCTCCTGCTCACCAGGGCGCTGGTCCTGGGCTACAATGCGAACCAGCCGCTGGACCAACTCCATCAGCTGCTGTTGCTGTTGCTGCAGGGAGCTGGAATTGCTGCTGAGGGCCTGCAGATTCTGCTTCAGGCTAGTCAGGGCTCCAGTCTGGTGGCCCAGGAGGCTCTGCAGCTGTTCCCTCTTGTCCTGGAGGCTGTTCATCTGGGCCTGGTGCTGTGCTTCCAAAGCCTGCAGCCTGCTCTCCAGTGCCCTGCCAGGTGGGACACACAGGGGTGAGCCCAGGCTCTCTACCCCCAGCGCTCACCCCATCCCCAGCATCCGTGGGGTTGAGTATGACAGCTACACACACCGTGCAGGGACTCAGAGATGCTCAGTGTGTGACTCTGCCACAGGGTCACACAGCCTGGTAGTCTGTGTCCACTGTAGCTCAGATCGAGAGAGAGAGAGAGAAAGTGAGAGAGAAAGAGAGAGGAGGGACAGAGAGGCTGTGGAGTCACATGAATAGGAGTGAGTAGAGAAACGAGGTCAGCAGGGTGGGACCCAGCAACAAGCAAGTAGTCACACGCAAAGCCCAGAAGCTGTGTCTAGGACCGGTGTGCCTCCCCTCAAAGGAGCTAGTCTCTAGGGGGTGTGAGCATGATACTGCTCATATGTGAGAAAGGGAGGCATAGGAGATACCCAACAGCCAGGACTGGTGGGTCCGTTCTGTTCTGGGGTTCCCAGGATTGTGTTACAGCCACAGAGAGGATGGTAAGGCATGAGGAAGAGGAGGTGGGGACTAACATGACATGGCAGAGCCTCTGGTAGATAGAACCCCAAGTGTGGGAGACAAAAAAAGAGAGGAAGAAGAAAGGAACGCACGGCAGTATGGAGGTGCTGGGGACAGATGGACAGGGTGTGGAAAGACGCTAAGAGCCTCAGTGTGGATGTCTGGAAGGAATGAGACAGACACCCTGAGTGTGATGACTATACACACCGCGGAGGCTCAGAGGTGCTCAGTAGTTCAAATCAAGGAAGGCTGAGAGGCTGTGGAGTCATATACGCGTGAGTAGAGGAACAAGGCTGGGCTCCGATAGAACAGGTACCTGTGACTGGCTTGCACTGCTGGTGTTTCTATATTTGTTCACCTAGTACTAGGGTGGAACCCAGGCCCTGGGTCATATTAAGTGAATATTCCACTTCTGAGTTGAGATGGCCACTTGCTTTTATATCACATGGGTCTATTAGCACAATAAGCACAAGGCATATCTTGGTATAAAAAGCAAAGACACATTTAAGAAAAGGAACTTTTCCACTCAGCTCTCCTTCTTTAGGAGTTTTCTACTGTCTGTGGGAGATGGGAGTACTTGTGTACCACTGGGTAGATCAGTACAACGCTGGACACGACCTTGATGTCCACTGACTGGGGACTGGGAAACAGACACCGAGGAACTCTGGGAAGTTGGAGAACGGAACAAGGTGTGTGCATCATTCAACTGCAGAAGCAGGTTATGGGCCCTGGGTGTCAGATTTCCCTGCCTTGTCTCTGCCCCAGGGTAAAGACTGCTTTTGTCTGTGTAAGTTCAGGTGTCTCCAGTGCATACTTGTACAGAGCACCAGACTGACAGTGAGGACGGATGCTGGGAACTGCTTTGTCTAGGAAGGGCATGTGGACGGATCAGGGCAGGCGTGTGTACTTACAGTTATGGAAGCCAGTGAAAGTTCACAATGTGGATTGTAAGGTGTGAAAATTGTATCTTAATAAAGTACTGAAAATTTAAAACAGAAAGAGGGAGATGGGTGTGGTGGGGCAAGCCTCACGCCAGTCCCTGAGGCTGAGGCAGGAGGATAGTAAGTCTGAAGCAACTGGGTTACATAGTGAAAACCCGGCTGAAGCAAAACAAACTGATGAAACAAAAACAAAAACTCCAAACAAAGGCAGTGTGTGTGTGTGTGGGGGGGGGGGGGGGGGCGGGGGCAGGGGGATATTGAGGGTTGACTCAGAGGTAGAGAGCTTACTTAGCATGTGCAAGGACCTGGGTTCGATCACCAGTACCACACAAAGAAGCAAAGTGGGGCAGAAAAAAAATCAAAGGAAAATGCACAGTCTCTGTTGATGCCAAATGCTGGGAGCCAGGCCTGGTGCTGCCTGGGCTAGCCTGCTCTAGCATCACCAGCACTTGTTTGGGTTCTAAGCCCAGTTCTGATCCTTACCTAGCCCTAACCTCACCCCAGCCTTGTCCCTAGTCCTAGGTCCATCCCACAGTGGTCCTTCACCCCAGTGCAAATCCAGGCCCCGGTCCCATCCCGACACTGGCCAGCTCCAGCTTCCCGCCCCAGCTCCGGCCCTCCCTTGCTCACCTGTTGCGACTCTGCAGCCTCTGCAGCTCGTGGCTCTGCATCAGCATCTGTCTCTCCAGCTTGTTGGTGGACAGTGAGCTCCCCAGCATTTGGATCTTCATGTGTGATGTCTGGTTGAGGACCTGTCCCCACAAAGCAGGAGGTTTGTGGGGGCATGTGCTATATAGGCCCGAGGGCCTGCTACTTGAAGCTTGCCAACCCACTGCGGAGTCCTAAGCTATTAGTTTCCATAGCTACTAGCTTACCACAGGCCCTCCCTGACTTAGCTGGTGTCTGATTTGCCCTTCCTCATCACTGGTTTTGCACACCAGTGCCAATCTTCAGGCTGTTCGGGCTCCAGAGACACATCCTTGACCCCCACATGCCATCAACCCATCAGCCCCATCTTCCAAATGGCCCCTAACCACTTCCTTTCCCTCCAAGGCTGTATGGGATGTTGGCCTCTCCCAGCTAGCTTCAGTGGTTAACTTGACAGCCCAGAGTTATGGAGGGAGTCCCAGTTAGGAGAGTGCTTCTATCGAATCGGCCTGCGGACATGTCTGTGGGGCATTTTCTTGATTGATGATTGATGTGGGAGGGCCCAGCCCACTACGAATGATGCTACTCCTGGGCAGGTGGTCCTGAGTTGTATAAGGAAGCAAACTGAGCAAGTCATGGAGACCAGCCATAAGCAGCATTCCTCCATGGTTCCTGCCCCGACTTCCTTCAGTGATGGACTGTTATCTGGAAGTATAAGTTAGATAAACCCTTCTCCCCCTCGGTTGCTTTCAGTCATGGCGTTGTTTATCGTAGCAACAGAGAGCCAACTCACTCACTGTCTGCTGTCTCTCATTCAGTGCCCTGCACTGGCCTCCCAGGGCTCCCTGCTCTTGCCTTATCCCCTTCATCCCTTTCCTACAAAGCAGTCGGAGGCAGCCTTTCATGCTGTGGCCCCTTTGCTCAGAATCCTTCTGTGGAAAGCTCACCCTCACTGGGCCCATGACTCAGTTTCCCTCTATACCTCCCTGCTCTGTCTCCCAGGTCATCGCTCTCCTCCATGTTCCTGGAGTAGCCAGCAGGCTCTATCTCTGAGCTTCTATACACGCTGTTCTCCTCCGTCTGGTGTGTTCTTCCTAGCAGCTTGGCCCAGGTTGTAGGAGCACGGCATCCCAGTGTCTTTCCGACCTTGCTGTCCGGACTCATAGCCTCCCATTCCACCCATGCACCCAGCCCACCCCTCTCTCTCTCTGTGCTGTGCTGGTTCCCTGGCATGGCCATGGAGTAATCTACAGGGGCCGTGTATCCCGCGTGCCTTCTTGGTGGGTTCCAGGGCAACAGATGCTTTGCTTATTGCACTAAACTGGAACCAGGGTCTCTCATGGTGTCTGGCACACGGGGGGGCTTTAGCAAACAGTTGCTCCTTCCTTCTCCCTGCTCCCTCACTCCCTGCTTGGCCTGTTGAGGTCACAAGGTCTTTTATCATCCAGTTCTCCCAGTGTGCCCTAATCCCTGGAGCAAGGGCTTTGTCAATGTTTCTGTCCCCCAGTACCCAGCACAGTCTTGTCATGCAGAGAAGTCAGACCCAGTGTGGCAGTCTCAGGGAGATGGCTGGTTATGTGAATGTGTCATCAGGGAGAGGAGGCCAGGGGCCTTCAGGCCCAGAGAGGCACCCCCCCCCCCCCCACACACACACATACACACCTCACCCGGACAGTGGCATAGACACCAGAACAGAGAAAGGAAGCCTGAGGCACAGCCTGGCCTTCTGGTGGCCCTCCTGTTACCTGTGCCTCCATAGCAGTCAGCTTGTCGGTCTGAGCCATGGTCTGGTTCATGAGGGTGGTGCCCAGTGCCAGCATGGTGGCTGTCTCATTCTGGGCTGTGTGCTGCTGGGTCTGTGCCAGGTTTGACCTCAAGTTCCTCCGGATGGACTGCTCCAGCTGTAGGGAGACAGTGTCAGGGCAGGGGCTGGGAGAAGCCTCCTGTCCCCCCTCCCTCCGTCCCCCGCCCCCCGCAGCTCCATGGCAGAGCACAGAGCAGCAGCTGGGGGTAGGTACCCACTTGAGATTGTGCCATGGCAGGGCACTGCTCCCCTCTCCCAGGTTTCCTCCACTGGCCTCTGTCTCTAGTCTGTCTTGTTGCCAACTGTCTGTCTCCCACTGAGCAGTCGGAAGCTCTTGTTGAAGCTATGTGAGCCACACCCCTCCTTTGCTCTGTGTTATTCCACTGTTCCCATTTCACAGGAGAAGCTTGATTTTTCTCAGTTTCCTCCATAGCCAGCCTACCCCTCCCTCCACCCTTCCTTTCATCTCTCATTCTTCTCCAGAAGCCATGTGTTACATTAGTTAATGCTGTGGAATATTTGTCTAATGATACAAAGATGTGTTGCATTCTTTTGTGTTGCATTTGTTTAACTCTGTGAAACTGTGTTACTTTTTCTGTCTAAAACACCTAATGGTCTAATAAAGAGCTGAACGGTCAATAGCGAGGCAGGAGAAAGGATAGGCAGGGCTGGTAGACAGAATAAATCGGAGGAGAAATCTGGGAAGAGAAGACAGAGGGGTGAGAAAAGGACTCCAGTGGCCAGCCACCCAGCTACACAGCAAGCCACGGAGAAGGATAGGAAAGGTATATAGGATAAAGAAAGGCAAAAAGCCCAGAGGCAAAATGTAGAAGAAGAGAAATAGGATAATTTGTTTTTTCGAGACAGGGTTTCACCGTGTAGCTTTGGAGCCTTTTCTGGAACTCGCTCTGTAGACCAGGCTGGCCTCGAACTCACAGAAATCTGCCCGCCTCTACCTCCTGATTGCTGAGATTAAAGGCATGCACCACCACCACCCAGCCTTTTTGTTTGTTTGTTTGTTTTGTTTTGAAATAGGATAATTTAAGTTAAGTTAGAAAAGCTGGCTAGAAACAAGTCAAAGTAAAGCTAGGCATTCATAAGTGAGAATAGGTCTCCATGTATTTATTTGGAAGCTGGGTGACAAGCCCCCAAAGAATGAAAAAAAAAAAAAAAACCCAACCCAACTATATCCATGCCTCCACACGTCCCTCCCATACAACCATGCACCTGTCTTAGGTCCTTTGCAATTGCTATTCCCCCAGTACTCTCTCCCCACTCACATGGTTTACTCCCTCAGGACATTTCACTGACGTCACACTCTTATCATTCCTTACTTTTATGCCAAGCATCTCTTTTTATCTCTTACCCTCCAGAATGTCAACTACAGGAAGCCAGGGGTACAATCTTAATGCTTAATATTCCATTCTCCATATCTAACCCACCACCAGGTACACGATGGGTGCTCAATAATTGTGTCCAAGGAATTGCTAGGAAACAGGGCACAGCATGGATCAGAGTGTAGCTCTCATGCCCTGCCTTTCCCCCAGCTTCCTAGGGGAGAGCCAGCCTATGGTAGGGTGGGGTGGGCTCACGTCTTTCCCTTGTACGGGTTTCCAGGTCCATCTGCCAAACTGAACTTTCTTTTAGCCCTGCTGTCTGCCAAACGGAGAAGAAGTCACAGCATCCAAGAGCCCTGGACCCCTTGAGCTGGCTTTCTTTCTTTGGCCATGGCGTTGGTCTGCTGAGAAGCCAAGATCAAGTTGGAGAGGTGAACAGTGAGTCCTCAGGCTGAGCCACTCCGTCACTGCTCCCGGCTGCACACACTGCCTGGGTCCCTCCTCTGTCTCTCAGGCCAGAACTCAAGCTTCCTTAAGATCCATTGGGGCCACTCAAAGGGGCCCTTGGAAGGTCAGGGCTCTCAGGGAGGGATGGGGATCTTGACTGGGGGTCAGGCTCACTCAGGCTGATTCTTTCTTCATTTCCCCCCTTTTCTGTCCACCCTCCCTTGTCCCTCTTCTGTCCACCCATCCCTTTCTGCCATGAGCACTTCAGAAGTTGCACGCTCCACTGCTAAGTCCCAGTGGTGCATTGGGAAAGCGCTGGAAATGCCTAGAGTGTGGCCCATGGATCAGCCTCACCTGGGAGCTGGTTAGAAACATGGGTCCCAGACCTGGTCCAACACTACTGAATGTGGAACCATCGGGGAGGCAGCTGTGTGTTCTTTAATAAGCTTCCAGCTAAAACTGAGACTTTGAAGTGGAGCACGCAAGGAAGAAGGGTGGGCCAGCGTGGAGCTTCTTCAGGCCTCTGCCCTCACCTTCCTTCCTCCTCCGCATCGTCACTGGTCCTAACCCTTTCTTGCAGCACGTGGAGGATATGTGCCCACAGATCCATCTAAACACTAGGGACCCACCCCTTCTAGCTGCCTCCTACTTTCTCTATCCCCAGAGTGTTGGTCCTTGCCTTCTATCTTGTTTGAGACAGGGTCTCTTGCTCACCCCTGCTGATTAACTGGCCTGAGAGCTTGTAGGGGAATTCTCCTGTCTCAGTCTCCCATCTTGCAGGAGTGCTGGAATTATGGACATGTGCTGCCTGCATCTTGCTTTCCATGGGTTCTGTGGATCCAAACACAGGGCTCTATCCATTGGGTTGTCTCTCCAGTCCTGTTCATGATCCTCTAATTCACCTTGTCATGATTTCCATGACCCCTTATTTCATACTGGAACTATCACCAGCATAGCTGACACCCAAATACACCCTCCTTTTAGAACCCAGCCACTGCCGAATCCTCCCTCTCCTGGTCTCTTTGCCTTCTTATTCCTTCTTTCCCTAGGCTGGGGGGTCCTCAATAGGGGACCAGAGGGTCTGTGAAGAGATTTCAGCAGTCCATGACATTCAGTGAGTGCAAGATGGCATTGGATTTGGATTCGTGATTGCAATTAGGCATTTCCATCAACTTTAGCTCAGGTCACGAAGAGGAGCTGGCCTAGTAGGCCCTGTGACACCATGGCAGAGAGAAATTCTGAATGCTTACATCCTTAGCAGGCTATCTACAGAATCCCCCCACCCCCACTCAGTGTGACTATGGTATTATAGGAGTTACCAACCCACCACTGGATGAGGCAATGACTTCACTGTCAATTTGGTCTTTAATATTTGGATTATAGCCACAGTATTAGTAGATGCTCTTCCAAGGGCCTTGACTTTAGTTTTTCTTGTGTGTGTGTTTGTGTGGCCTTTTGAGACAAGGTCTTGCTCTATAGCCCAGCACTTGGGAGTCTGATCTTGAGCCCACAGCAACCCTCCAGCTTTAGCCTCCTGAGTGCTGGCGTCATGGGCATTCGCCACCATCCCTAGTTGATTGTATATGTTTCTAAGAAAATCCATAGGCTTTCTCTGGGGCCAGAAGCTGAAGGGCTCAGTGCTCCAAAGACCCTGGGGTGCCGCCCATGTGCTTCAGCACTCCTGAGACTTTCACAGCTCATGACTTATCATTTCCTATGAGGAACTCTTCCTGAACACCTCTCCATATCTACACAGGTTTCAGACAAGCATCTCTAAAACTGGATATGGTGAAGCACTGTAAATGAAGGCTTTCCTCTGTCCTACCTGGTCACGCGGCTGCTTTTAAAATAATCACTCACAGGCTTATATTAGTTACAAACTGTTTGGCCTATTGCTCAGGCTTATTACTAGCTAGCTTTTACATTTAAATTAACTCATTCCTATTAATCTATGTATCGCCACGTGGCCCATGGCTTACTTGTTCTTTCACACCTAGCTTTTCAGGCAGTTCAAATTGTCTGCACTGACTCCACCCTTATTCATCTCCTTCTTCAGTTTGAATGCTCTGCCTAACCTTATTCTGCCTCACCATTGGCCAAACAGCTTTATTTATCAACCAATGAAAACAATACATTCACAGAGTACAGAAAGACATCCCACAGCAAAGCACACCTATGATTCCAGCACTTGGAGGTAGACAAGAGGAGTAATTTAAGGGTATCCTCAGCTACCTAGTGAATTCAAGGTCAGCCTGGGCTGCCTTGAGGCCTTATCTTTTGAGACCCTGTCTCAAAAACAAATGAGTAGAGAAATAAGGAAACAGCCAAACAATTAGCTTTTCCAGCATCCAGCACAGGCCTCTGAGTCCCACCTCTCTCCATGTCCCTGGAACTCTCAGCCTGTTCCCATTTTGATCATGTCAGTGAATGGCCCCACCCAATCCTGAAGCCCCAAACCAAGACCTTAATCTTGACTTCTTTTCTGTTCACCCCACACATCCTGCTATTAAGTCTGTCTGCTGAGATCCCAGTAAGAACTTCCAGTCTGTTCGCCTCCTCCCTCAGCTCCCCAGGGACACTACTAAGTGCCTGGCTGGGGCCCACCAGTGGCTAGGGTGCACAGAACACTGCCAGCTCTGCCCTAGACTCTTCTGCTCAGCATGAGCCTTCTGGAACCTGAGTCAGATGCAGACTCCAGGGCCCCAAGTTTCTACTCAGACAGTCAGCAGCAAGTTCATTTCTGAGTAGAGAACTTTCTAGACACCTCTCCACACTCAGAGCCAAAACCGCTTCTCCGACCCATGGTAGGTTCCAAGTTATTATCCACAGATAGGAAACCCCAGGTTCCACGAGGCCTCCCTCATGTCTACAGAGCCAGACTGAGGACTCAGGGTGACTTAGGGCCCTCCTGAGTGATTAGGGCTCCCTAAAAGCAGACTCACTGATTTTCCCCAGTGGGCCTGTGACTGTAAGTATCGGGGCGGGGCAGAAGCCACCCACAGCTGGATCCTGTTATCCAGTCCACTAGCCCACCCACTGGCCTGGGCCCTTGGCAGATAATCCCAGCCAGATGGCCTGGTTCAGCCAGCCTGGGGTTCTGGATACCAACACCAATCTAGATAGGTAGCTGGGGCTGGCCCCAGGCTGAGGCACCAGCCAGTGGGTGTGGAAAGGAATCCTCTTGAGAACCTGACCCAGGCAGCGTTCTGCTGTCTTCCAGGCATTACTGCCCTTTAGGATCAGACCATCGGCACCTTTTCCAGCACCTTGGAGCAGCAAATTCTCATACCTGAGCCAGCAGCATCCCCTCTCC